TGTGTGTGTGTGTGTGTGTGTGTGTGCGTGCGTGTGTGAGTAAGAACAAATAAAACTGTCTGATGCAGCAGCTCTTTACTCTTTTATCAGGGCCACATTAGCCTCTATTCAACAGTTATCATGACACATGAGACTGCAGCAGGATATGGTGCTTCTCAAAACAATACTGAAATATGTTGTAGTTATTTCCATAGACCGACTGTAGCCAAAGTTTTTTTTTATTTATTTATTTTTTGATTAATGCACACTTGAACTGTGCCAACATTTTTCGCTTCTGATGTTTCTCCACTGTCTGAATAAGAGCTCTTTCAGTGATAGGACTTCCTAGTATTTCCCCCCGAATATTTAAGCTGCTAAATGTTTATGGCTGTGCTTTGAAAGCCCAGTTTATCTTAAGTAAAACTGATCTTGTACAGTGTGTTGATATCAAGCCCGTCCTCAGGACTCCAACAGCTGTTTTCAAGACATGCACTGAATGTGCGTGATACGGAGCCAGCGTGTTGAAAGCAGTGGACGCAAGACAGACGGAGGAGGAGAAGGATATCATGCCATTACAGGAAAGAGATTTAGAGTCTGTCTCTGCTCTGCTCTCTCTCCCACCCATCGCACAGTCCCCCAGAGGGGTTAAGCACTCCGCTGGTAATGACCATGCTTCAGACAGCACTTTCAGGACTTGGTGCCTTGCCGCAGCCGACGTGTAATTCGGGCCAGAAAAAAAAAAAACAAGACTAGAGAGCCAGCGTCTGGGGGGAGGAGGGAGGGAGTGGAGTTTTTTGTTGGACATTGACAGTGTGTGGAGCTCGGCAGCCCCCAAGGCACAGCCTGACTCTGCCTAGGCTCAGACGCCCTGCCGGGGAAGGTGCTGAGGTGGCTGAGAGAGGATGTGGAGGCCTCAGGCAAGCAGAGATGCAGAAAAAAACTCTCCCAGTAAGTCATGTATACAGCAGAATTTTACTGGGATTTAGAACTGTACAAAGCCAAAGGAACTTTAGTGACATTACCGACAGACTTGATTCCAAAATTCTAAATTAAGTAAAATTATATTTAACTTGATATTATTGTATAACACGTGAAGTTCTGTTAGAAGGAAAAAATTGAGGCAATAGAGTCTTAAAGCAGCCATGGTTAACTCCTGACATTAAATCAATTATGTAATCAAAGTCAACTTTATTGTCAATTCTGCCATATGTACAGGACATAGACGGATTGAAATGCTGTTTCTGTCTGATACCCAGTTTAAAAATATAAGTAGACAGAACAAGACATACAAATACGCGAAAACAGAACATATAAGTATGCAACATAATAAAGCACTCAAACCATAGTACACAGTGCTACATAGTATGCAGTCATAAGACACACGCTGGATTGGATGAGAGTACTGCAAACCGGAATAGTGAAAATGTGAAGTAGGGCATTTACGACTACTGCGTTTTAGTAGTTGTCAATTTTTCCCAATAAGTAATTAACTGGTCGATTAATCGTGGGAGACATATTTTTCTGACACTTGTCAATGTGTGTGAGAGAGGTGATGCTTGGTGTTCAGTGATAAGACATTTAAAGAAATCTCTAGATTGTCGTCTGCCTTTCTTGGCCTCTCTGTTGTCGCTTCTCTCCGCTAACTTTCCTACTATGCGTTAGCCGGAAGCAGGTGTAGCTTTAGATGGTAATGCATAGTGCTGGTATTGTTTTTGCACTTACTGACGGTTTTATATCCTCCGGTTAAGTATTTCCACACTTTAGTCGAGCATCTGAATCTGGTCGTTTCTTTCCCGCTCTTGTGGCATGTCTGCTATTTTAACACCCACACTGCAGTGTTAAAGTCACGCATGACAACTATGGCTTGTCATTATCAACAGCCCCCCCTGCTGCTTATTTGCTGTACAATACTACACTGTGCCAAACCCAAAGATGAATGACTTGTCTACAATGATACAGTGTCAACTAGTGATAGTAAACCTGTCTGTGAAACCTCTATTGTGGAGCAGAAGTAACAGGTTGTCTTCTCCTTGTTGATACACTACACTCCTACCATCTTCCCCCAGCCCCTACCACATCCACAGAAAAAGTAAAAGAGAAAAAATGCTGTTATTCATTTCTTTTATTTGTGTTGGGACGCATGCGGACATGGACAGCCTGCCCGCGCTCCTGTCCTTGGGAGCTCAAGCATGCAGCCATGTAATCTGCGTTCCACTCCTTATTGATGGAGTTCACAGATCCGGAGGCTGCGTTGCTGCACCCTTATACCTTACTCCACCGTAGCCGGTAAAATGACTGCCTCGGCTGTTAGCATTGGACGGTCCACTCTGCTGAGGAAGCAGTAGACGGTAATCTGCTCGGTCACACTCCAGCTCTCCCGCGGGAATGCAGGGATTAAACCTGGCGTACGATATATAGTGTTGCCGAATGCGTGACCGTGCCGGGAATTTCCGTGAAATTGTGAGCGAAGCACCATGAGCTCTCCTTCTCCTCCCCTCTATTGCGCTATAAATACCACCAAGACTACCCAAAGGCAGAAAATCAGGCAGGAAACCAAGACTGACCCACAAGGACGTGAAGATGGGACAAATAAGAAATGACATCCTCCTTGTCCTCCTTTCCTTTTGATTGGTTTCCAGAGAAGGATGAGAAGCGTTCACAGAAGTGAGTGCAGTTGACGACACACTTCTATGCATATATACACCTGCTGTATGTTAATGATAACATAAGTGGCCTGTTTGAATGCCAGGGTGTGTTATTTCTTAGCACTTACACTATGTTTTTTTTCAGAGTTAACACAATAGAGAGAAAATTAATCCGGAATTAATAAAAGTTGAGTTGATGCCACCACCACCTATGCAATGGATTCTGTCAATAAGAGGCCTGTATCCGCACCTTTAGTATAATTTAATATATGCTATTTTATCTTATCTTATAGTTATCTGCATTTTGTCTTTGACCTCTGCAGTGATCCAGGGTCTAATGTAATCTGAATGGCACTTTCACAGCTTTAGAAACCATGAATGACACATTTAATTTCGGCGTGGATCTGTCAGTCATTTTAAAAAGCGGGTTAGTGCGCTATCTGTCCTTGAAGAAGTGCTCTGCCGCAGCACCAATCCTTCAGGAAGTGAATCATTCTTGTCAGGACAGAGCGGGACTCTCACAGGAAAGCTTAGCATTAACCCAGTCCCACAGCTACTCTGTCTTTCCTTTGTCAGCCAAGGCAAATGCAGCCCACAACTAGAACATTTTGAATGGTAGAGCATCCTCACTGATAAGTTCTCTCAGTGCTGCGTTACTTAATGACACTTTTCTAAACAATATTCTGTAGGATTTGGCTTCTCATCTGCTCCCCCAGTAAAGTAGAAACCAGTCTCATGAAAACTTCCAGACTCTCACTCCCACTTGTTGGAACTTTTGGCCGGTCTGCTGAAGACAGGGGGAAAAATGCAGACTGTCCAAATGGGACTGTGTGATATAAACAACTCCCAGGGAGGTGTGCTGGAGCCCCAGTCTGTCACAAGAGCCAAAAATCACAAAGTGTCCACCCAGGCCACAGAGAATGTTTGGCAGGCAGCCATGACATGGGGGCTCAACAGCTGTCCAAAGAGGGTTGAGAGAGGTCACTGAGTGGGGCCTCGTTCATCTGCAGCAAACTGTCCATGCAGCGCAAGAGGAATGGCCACCGCTCCCTGGATTTTCCACAGCGTTGTACACTGTAAGAAACATGGAAATGTATCTTTCACTGGTTGCGAGGTCTCTGACGTAATATTTATGCATTTACTCAGACAAGCAGATGGACGCACACACACAATTGTGCACAATACGTATCCTCCTGTGTTCGTTAGCAGACACCCTTTCTTCCTGAACGCTTCCCTATTATAGCCCCAAAACCCTTGACAGGTGTCAGCCTTACTCAGCTCACCGCCTCACCAAAGCCTGCCCAGAAATAATCCGCTTCTTCTCTTCCCATCTCCCACAGTAGATTTCATCACAATTTCTGGACAAATTCAACCGGAGCTGCTGACTTTTATGGGAAAGACTTTTATTTTTGATTCAATATAAATCCTATCTCGGGGGTTGAGGGGCAGGAGTTTGTTCCCCCCTCCCATTCTTCTGTCTGCCTGTCTTACTCTCTTCTTTCTGCCCCGCCCTCAGCCGCTTCCTCCTGCTCTCTCCCTCTGTCGGACTCGTGGGCTTACTATGTCATGTGGAAAGTGTCTTCACCGAAGCAGCTCGAGGACACTGAGAAGCGATTTCCATTTTCGGAGTCCCCCCCTCACACCATCCCACCCCCACCCAGTGTGGAATATTGTCATTCAACTTTCCCTCGTTTCAGCGTGCGGAAAAGCCTTCAGGTTTTAAAGGGACTTGATCCCCTTTTCCAGACATATTCTCAGAGGATTAAGCAGTGAGGCCCAACTAAAGCACCCTTAATCAAATCAAAATAAATAGCCCTCTTTACAATGGAGGATGCCACATTTTCCATTTCTATTTTGCAGGGGATTTGTCCCAGGGAGGGAATATCACAGTTGAAAAGGCCCAGTGCCTGCAGAGGCGATACAATGCGATGTGCTCTGCGTGTGAATGTGTGGTGCACTTACATGTACAGTAGGTGGGTTTCAGTGTACATGTTGTTTTTGATAGCATGGTGATTCTCTCTCAGCTCTTATTACAGTTGGTGTTGGAGGCGAGCCAGGCTTTTGGAGCCAAAATGAAGGGGTTTAAGTGTGCCTTAGGAAAGCTCCTGGCACCGGGGCCTGGTGGCACTCCGGGGCAGCAAGAAAGCATTTACTGTAGATTAGAGCTCCTCTCAAGTGTTTCACAAAGTCGGCCTTAAGCTTGGCAATTGTTCCCAGGGCCATCCAGCAATCTGCAATGTCACCAGATCACAGCCCATATAGTTTTTCTTCCTGCGTCCGCTGGAGGTTGTATAGGTGGTGAATCAGAATTTACTTCAGCACTTTGCATTCCTCATTCCTCACCTGTCAGAGCATTATTTTCTTGATGGATGAAATTGTTGTATGTGTCACTGTTGTAGGTATAAGTGTATCCGCTGATACACACTTGATAAACACTCCATTTCACTCAAATGAAATGATTCATGGCACCAATCTGCAACTACACTATTTCACAGCAGCCATTTTGTGTCATTCTTGCAAGCAATCAATCAAATTCATGTGGGAAGTAAAATGTTTCAAGTGACAACCAATGTTTTACCTTTACACTGCCATTGCATATGATACACTGCCATTTTCAATTATTTTAAGTATTTGTCAGCTTATTCGTTTGTTGTCTTTTTCCAGGTAACTACCCCCGTCCCTCTAACTACAGCGGGACGGCCAGTGCCAGCTACAGTGGCCCCGGCCCCGGCATGGCCAACAGCCTGGGAATGAATGCTACCAGCCCTATGCACGGCCAGGGTCCCGGCCAGCCCATACCTGTAGGACGTAGCCATGGCCCGGGCAACCAGAATAGAGTTTATCCGCCAATGGCTCCCAGCTCTCCCAGCATGCCTCAGCCAGCTGGGCCAGGGATGGGTCCTCCGTCTTTGGGTAGCTCTAACCGCAAGGTTCAGGAGGCAGGAGCCGCTGTGGTGCTGGGATCTGCCAACTCAACACACAACAGGTAAGAGCACAGCAAGGACTCAGGAGGTCGGATTCATGAAAGAAATATTGTATTTTAACTGACTAGCTATTTTTTAAATATAATTTCTTAAATTGTTTTATATGACTTTTTAGTTGTGTGTTCCTGCACCTAATCAGTCCTAAAAGTGATCTTGAATGAAGAACTGGGTAACGGTGCCACTCCAATAGAGATGGCCTAAATTCTTTGTGGGACTGAGGCTTTTATTTTACTTCACCTGGAAATAGTGGTAGGCTAAAATTAGGGGACAGCAAGTATCTCTTTCTTATATCACTTACTCCTGCCATGCTGCAGGTCGTCTCTGAGGACGTGCACTCAAAAGCACTACAGAGAGTTTCTTTGCCACAGAGTTCTTCTTTTTAGATGTGCAGGCATGAGTTGGTTCTCAGGGGTTCCACACTTCTATGAGCCATTTGCAGAACTATCCCTATTTTCACACATCTCATAAAGTGCCTGACATTTTGATAGTTGGCACTATACACCAAGTGTCGTTTGTTGCAGGAAGAGAGATATTGGCTTGTGAGTAGACTGTATGGGTTGAATACTGTCAAAACATAAAAAAGAAGAAAAAGCTAACCAAAGGTTTAACAGTGAACACACCAGAGATGGAGGTGACACCAAGCACCTCAACACAAATACAGAGCACTTTGATGCTATAAAGGTATATGAGTTAGAGATATTATTTTTCCATCAGGGTTGGAGCTTTGAATATATGAGTCTTTGTAGCGTTAGAGGCCGGGGCTGTTGTGGGATTGTGTGGGCAGTAAACTTTCGCTGAACCCCACCGGGGGGAACTTGATGAAACATGGTCGCCTTCAGAGGGGGAGGGTGGGTTTCTGCGCTTCCTCCAATCAGTGTGCGGTTTTGGCTGATGATGCATGGTGGGAGCAGGCTGAGGTAGCACATTAACATGTGTCAGTGTTCATTTCTGATGATGCATGAGTCAGACTGTGAGCGAGTGATGATGTTTCAGATGAAGTTTCTCTTTTTATCATGGGGGGGGATCTTGTTGATGGCTGAAGGCGACCTTCGTATGTAAGGTCCCCAGCACAGATGCAGCCGACCCCACCCACCTCCAACCACTGGCCTGTACCCCACCCTGACTCCACCCGTCCACAACCTTCACCTCCACTCAGATCTCATCACCCATGCATCCTGCCATCCTCACACTCACAGCACCATAGGTAGGTCTGCCACCCTCATGATGCATGTTAGTATCTTAAACACAAACTGTCTATAAGTGAACGTGTTTGTGTGAATGCTTCAAGCTCAATAGAACTGAAAGTGATCATGATATTTCTCACCCGCTCCCCTCTGCGAGCAAAACAAGAGGAGTCATCGCTGTTGTTGTCGTAATTGCCATCTTCACCTTCATCATCATCACTGTAGTCATTATCATCTTCGGCATGTGTTAGTCACTGTAATAGCAACCACAAAGGAGCACATACACTTTCTTGTGTGCTTTGTGTCTACATTTTTCGAGGGGGGGCTGACAGTATATGTGATTAATTAACGTGTATCTGGGGGGGGCGGCAGTGCTATTAAGAGATGGCTGCGCTGTCAATAAGAAGTGGCACGACACGATCCTCACTGCTGGGACCAATCAGACCCCCTGTCAGTCTCTGCTCACAGTCACCAAGACACCAGAGAGGTGTCACTCTCTCTGTGCTGCTGCTGGAGGAGGAGGAGACGTTCTCTGTTTGTTTATGAATTTCTCTAAAATGTGTATTTTTGTATCTTCATCTATTTCTCCATCTTTACAGCGATCCATTTTGATTCACTATTTGCCGTGAAAGTGTCTGTGGGTTCCTTGTCTTTGCTGTTTTTGGGATCAGGCAGTCATAAGTTTCATAAAGACCAAGCAGCTTGTTATTTGGTATTTTCTACTGGAAGTCTCTCTTGTTTTTCTCTCTTCAGTGTTGCTGTTAATATGAGCCATTAGGAGGTTTGTTTGTTTACTTATTTTTGGGTTGAGTTAGGTGTAGAGTGAAGTGGTGGGGAAAGTCGATCCACACGGGGGGTGGGGTTAACTCCCTCTTAGTGGACAACTCGACACACCAAGCGGTTGAATAAATTGTTACAAGGTGAACGTGAAGGTGCTTGCCAATGAGATTAGGTGTAGAATTTAATAAAAGCAAGCCAGTTCAGTTCGTCGTTTAACATTGTGCTGGAGGAAAAACTAGCAGACGCTGGATATTCAGAAGACTAATATATGACTAAAAAAAAAAAAGTCTGCCAGCTGGCTGACAATATTTGTTGTCACTAATCTGAACCAAATTTCTATCTGTTTCTTTATTCAGCATTTTTTTTTTTTATTGATAATAGCTTTTACAAATAGGAGTTTTGGCAGGGAGTATTTTTACTAGTTTAAACAGAAAAAAAGCCAAAATGTTTTGTTACAATGAACACTTTTGCAGAAAACTCTAGTTTCTTTGCTGCTTGTCTCACCCTCACTGTTATTCTTGTCTGCTGTCGCTCATATTACCTCTTTCATCCCTTTCCCTTCTGCTTCTGTTCTCTCTCCTCCCACCTGTTTCACTCTTTTTTACCAACTCTCCCAACTGTATCGCCCTCTCCGTCTCTGTGCAGCTCTGTTATCCTACCCAGACTGTTTTATCTCCCTCTGTCTTTCTTCCTCCCAATTTGCTTTTTGTTCTCCGCTGTCTCCAGCACAGCCTTGTTATGTTTTTCTTCCTCAGATCCCACTTTAGAACATCTGAGGGAGATCAGGAGAAAATTGGCCTACGAAAAACCTGCAGTTAAAGGCTCCAGTACCCCGTTTGCTCTCCAGATCTCAGCGCAACATTCTGAAACATTCAGACCTAGTTCCTCTCTGTCTGCGAAACAAGTAGTTAGTCGTAGCACATGTCTAGTTTTTGCCCTTTGATGCATCAACCCTGTGTGAACTGCCTCGGCCGCCCACTCACGACCTTCTAAATCAGTGGCTAGCAGGCTGCTCGCTCCTTCTCTCCCTCTTTTTTCTTCAACACCTCCCCTTTCTCTTCTTTCCCAACCAATAATCCCTCTAAATTTCCACCTCTAATCCCCCATATCCATCCTCCCCTGACTCACACACACCCTCACACACTCGTAGACACACTTCGGCTTCATTACCCTGAGTGAAAAGAATGCCAAATGAACAGAGGAGGGCCACTTCTCGTATCCCATGGCTGCAGGCGAGGGTTGTGATTAAATCTTCATAAAGTGAGGCGTGAGGGTTTTTTCCCCTCAAGCTCTCTCAGAGTTTCTCCTCCGGCCAACCGACTGAAATCAGAAACTAATGTCCCGCTTTTATCGGTTACTCAGTTTGATTGGTTGTTGAGGGGAAACAATGTTGACCTTCAGAGTTTTGGAAACAGAGAAAAGAATCCAGTCGCTCTACTTAAAGTCAAAGCAGAGGGATCATTTTTGAAATCTAGGAATTGATGCTTCTTCTGCTGTTCTACTTACAAATAACAAATAAAAAATAAAGCATGTATATGTTATTTGTTTGTGCACTTTTACCTCATTTTAAATATAGATTCTGGTCAATCTGAAAATGAGGTTAATCAGCTTCATGTCAGCTTGTTGACATGTTGGGGGCACTATAGGCTGCCAGTTGCCAGGATGAAAAGCTGCAGCGTATGAATTTTGACATGTTATGTTCGAATAACACGCACAATGTCAGGCCTGTCAGTGTGGAGGAGGTACGAGTTTGTTTGGGAGAAAGGTGTGGAAGAAAATATTACGGGCTTGGGGATTGATGTTGGGGAATTTTTGGAAAAGAGGAGAGAACAGAAAGTATTAAAAGGTATAAGCTTTTCTTGGCAGCAGCTTCTGAGGACAGAATTGGCTTTTCAAATGACTTTCCAGCGCTGCCGGCGACACTCTACAAAAAGTTCCTGGAGCTATAGGAACGGGCGCTGTCGAAAAAATAAGCACTTAGTGGAAGAAGAGCAAAGCTCAGAGAAAGAAAAAAAAAGAGCCGTAAATCAAAGGGAAATTGAAGAGAGAAAAATGTTGGAAGAGGGAAGAAGAGAGGAGAGGAGAGTGCTCCCAGGCAAATCCTTGCCAAATAATTCATTTCTGACCTCCTTAGTAAGTAAATTTGCTAAATAAATAAGAGCAGCGCTTGAATGTCAAGAACGGAGGATGCTGCCTGTGGCGCTTTGTCGCTCGCAGTCTTGGCAGTGCTGCGGAGCGCTCTGCTTTCATTAGATGGGCAAAATAAATGGCTTCTCCTCCATCCATCCTGAGCTGTTTGATGTTTGAGAAGGAGGGGAGGGAGAAGAGTAGCTTTTCTCTGGATTTAATATGTTAAAAGCTGTCCTTTTATTTTTTTGTGGAGGACTTATTCTGGTCTCCCCTCTGTCTGTGCATGTTTGTCTGTGTGCTGAGTTGAGTCAGGAGTTTGGAGGAGCTATGAGCCCAAGCTGCCCTGAGAACAGATTGGGTCCATATATAATTCATGGCCTCCAGCCGATCCACTCCATCCTTCCATCCAGCAGCCTCTCTCTGGCTCTTTTTCTCTCACTTTCTTCTCCACACTCTTACACACACACACACACACACACACACACACACACACACACACACACACACACACACAAAGCCGAGGGATCGATAGGGAGGGCCGCTCAGCCATCACACACTCCTGCAGTCCCAGCACTTCTGCTGTCTCGTCCAGTTAGCAGCTCTGGGAGGCATCGGCGCGGCCTGTCACCACGAATGAAGGACAAAGACGCTGCCACTTCTAGAGAGACACCGTCAGCTGGTTGGCTGGCACCTCGTAACCATGGCGTCCCCTTGGCAACAGCACACACCCTGCGCATGAACACAAGGACACACTCATATACACACACATGCACGCACACACACACACACACACACACACACACACACACACACACACACACACCCTGCCCACGGTGTGATAGTGGCCTTCTCTGATGCCCTTCACACATGTGGACTGAATAACAAGAGGAGAGAGAGATGGTTGTGTCTGTGTGCGTGCGTGCATGTGGTGTGTGTGTGCGTGCAGTGTGTGTGTGTGTAGAATCAGGGAATAAACCAAGGGGGAATGTGAACAATAGAAAAGTAATTTTCCTTTTAAAGTATGTGACCACAGTGTGTTTAATTGATGCATTTCAAGGTGTGTGATGATGGCTTTTCTACCCTGAAAGGCCAAACAATATATATATATTTATATATATATATAAATATATATATATGTTGTGATTGTCTGTGTATGATCTATAATGCTCTGTCAAAATTCTGTAACTTTTCAAGAAAACTCGGGTGAGAGTTTTCCAGTAGTTTCTTTCTCACTCTCTCCTCAGGCCACTCCTAGACAACAAACCCTGGCCTGATGTTGTTTGGATAGTGTGTGTGTGTGTGTGTGTGTGTGTGTGTGTGTGTGTGTGTGTGTGTGTGTTCACTCTGCTCATTCTCATGGAACAGCGATTACCTAGCTCTGGGGCGCTGAGCCCCCCCCCCCAGCTGGTCCAACAGGGACCCATGCACACACTACTCTGGCTTCTCCGGCCCTAATTTCCCTCCCTTCGTCTTTCTCTCGTTTTTTACAAGTTCTCCACTCCCTCTGTTTCCATCCCTTCTCTTCTTTCCTCCACTTTCTCTCCCTCCTTCCCCTCACTCACTCTTTCTCTTCCTCTCTGCTGCAACAGGATGCTTTTTTCTTCCCCAGCACAAAGGTGCCTGAGAGCAAGATGAATGTGCTGTGCCGTTTTTTTTTTCTTCCCCCGATAGCGGCACATGCATATATTAAGTGTGATTAAACGCTGTGCAGTGCCTCCATCAAGTGCTTTCTAATGGGCTTTTTTATGACATGAATTAGTCATAATGGGAGAGTGCCACAGTCGAAAACCTCCAACCACTGTTGTTGTTGTTGTTGATTTGGATGTTTCACTATTCACACGAGAGCTTGTGCTTATATTCCTCAAGGTGGGTGAGGCGTGTTTTTACATTATGGATGGATAAATGAGCTCCACAGGCATGTGGCATCTTTAAACTTATTTTTCCTTGCCGGCTTAACATTTCTGTCTTTTTGTGTGGCGTTTGCACGCAGAACACATTTCCGCTCGCAAGAGAAGGTGCGGTGATTAAAAGGTAAATTTATTTCTGTGTCTTGACTCACACAGAGCTTTTTAAGGAACATGTAGGAAGCAAATGAGGGAGTCTATACTTCCCTCATTATAGGGAAATGGGGCCAAATAAGTGTGGATTTGGTGCGAGCTTGTTCCTTTGCCATGGAGCTCCCCTGTGCACCTCGGCCCCCATAGAGGGATTACATATGTATCATCAGCCGTGCTCTATGACTAATTACATCTGTGAGATGAGATTATGGGGAGGTTTACCAAGCCGATCCCTCCTCTTAGGCTATGTGTATCGGTTCCAACATGAGGTATTATGATTTGTGTCTGTGAGTGTGTGAACGAGAGAAAGGTGCCAGTTAGGAGGTAATTGACATATAGACATAAATCCGGATAGTATTTTTCTTTTTGTCCACATGAAACTGTGCTGCAACTGTGCTGCCAGATACTCCTCATTCCTTCCTTCCTGCTCTCATTCCATCCTTTCCTTCCTTTACATTCACTCAGCTGTCATCCACATTTCCTCTCCCCTCCTCTTTTCATCCTGCTGTCTCAGGCTTCCACCTGTTTTCACTTATTTTCTTGATCTTTTAGGCCTCTCTTTCTCTCTCTGTTCATCTCTGTGTCTTTTCTCTCCATCTGTCTCCCCTTTTTTTTATGTGGTTGTCCAGGAGATAATCTTGAGTCAGCAGGAGATAGACCAAATTGTTCCCAACATGGTGTTCCCTTTCAGCCTCCATGTCACAGGCTTTGGCCTGCATGGCATGCAACAATAAACTCTGCCTTCAATCACAGACACACACACACACACACACACAAATGGCTAGCATTCAGCAGGTTGCAGATAAGCCCCTCTGATGTCACTTGCATCACCATGTGATGAGCTGCCTGAGAGAGAGGGGGGAGGCTGAGGGAGAGAGATTGAGCGGGATTGATTTCTGCTGTCACCATGGCAACAAATAACATGATCCTCTCCAAAAGCACACCTTAATTAGTTAAATTATGACTTGAGGGAGAGGGAGGCAGAGGGGGAGAATGGGGGAGGGAAGGGCAGATTTGTGTAAGGGGAGAGCAAAGACGGGATTCAAATTTTTTTTTTAATGCTGCATGGTGAATCTTTTGGAAGAGCTGTTTGTTTGATCAAGGCTATGTTGCCTTTTATTGTGACTTTCAGATACACACGCCACACGTTTTTACAGTAATGTCAGAGTACATACTGCCAGACATCTTCTCTGTACGATTTTGTGACTTCTGTTCTTCTGCAGTGTTCATTGTTACTCACTTATGTCTTTACAGCCTGCCATTACATTGTGGATCTAAATATAAATATCCACTTTCCTCTTTCTCCTCTCTGTATGGTAGGCAGGGCAGCTATCCAGGCCCCGGCATCAGCCAAGCAAGCACTATGGCCACCGCCATCCCCTACAGCCAGCCAGCAGGCAACAACAGCTCTGCTATGGGTAACGCGCAAGGTCCAGCCTACATGCCGCCTTCAGGTATTCAGCTCATGCCAACTACTTCTTGGCTAATGTTGTGCAATGGTATATTTCTTTGAAAATATGGACATGTGGCACAGGTAATGAAATATAAATCTGTGACGCTGACAACAGGTGTGGTCCCAAATGCAGACTAGACACGAGGAAAGCTCCAATAAATAGTCTTTAATTAAGGTTGCGAGCACAGGTAGGTGGTCAGACATATCCAAAAAACACAAAGGCTGAAGGGAAGGAAAGAAAAACACGGCTTGATCCTAAACTCATAAAGATCACACCAGGAACACTGACAGGGGAGGATAGGTACAGGAAACATGGGGATTGAACACATGAGTAAACAAGACGGAGGTGAAACTAATAAGGGAAGGGAAACAAGACAAAGACATTAAGTAAAGTGAGAAAGACACACAAGGAAAAAAACCTTCAAAATAAATTGGGAAATAAAGAACTCAAAGTGCAATCCAGGCTATTGTGTCAAGACAAATTAGCATCTGGGTCCACGGCCAATATTTTGGGGCTTCCAGTGTCGACACCGGATATCCAGGGGAAGACTGACTGTGTATTCACATGCTCCTCGGAAGGTCCAATTTCCTGAGTTGTGTTCGGGTGTGTTCTTCAGCTTTGAAGTGGGAATGTGGAGATATCATGGACCCTGTAAACAACAGATTTGATACATTCATGTGTTTAGAGCAACAGCTTGACGCCGCTGTCCAATAAAGAAATAAGTGTGACAGGCATATTAATAATTTAAAAACAAATCATCATCATCATATAAAAATGTCTTTATTGGTTTAAAATTAATAATAGTGTTAGGCTCTTGTGAGAGATGGATATTGAGTTTGCAAGTGAAAAAAGTAACATTTGACAATTTGATATTGAAATCTACTATTTAAAGCCGATTTTAAAATGTTGTTGTTAGTAATAATGACATCATTACTCACATACCAAAATTGGCGCCAACTTTACAAGTTTTTGTTCTGAGTTGATATGATGTTCACATGCATTTTCCCTATTGGGAATCAATTTTTTTAATTATTCCAACTACACCTGATCACACAAAATGAGTCTTCCATTCCCCATACACTGTTTACAGTCTAACTAGTTTCTTTTATCAGACTTGTCGAACATTTCTCCACACAAAACACAAACAGTGGTACTTTTTGTAGGCGTTTGGGTCCAGGTGACATTTTGGCTAATCTATAAAATGAAAAAGTCGCTAGCCATTGAATGTGTTCCACCTCTTGGTCAAACTACAAAGGTTTCCAACCCAAAATCTTGTTCCTCGCCTACAGATTCTCCATATTCACATAGTCAAAGTGCAAACACAAGAAGATTATTAGCTTGTGACATAAAAGGTCCATACAACAGAAACTCTTTCCAAAAGATCCATACCAGAAACATAATTCCAAACAAGGAATCACAAGTTCACAAAAAGGTCCAAGAAAATAAGAGACTGGGACAAAATTATGATAATAGCAAAAGAAATGTCAAAAGTGGAAGCACCCAAATATTTGGAAAGCACACACCAGACAAGGGAGAAATGTTGGATAAATGATTTCAGTTTAACTTAAACCTCATAGAAAGAAGCTGTCAGCCTCCTACAGCCACAGTCAACAGTTATATATAAAAAGAGGCTGTTACTGAGTAAATGTCGATTTGAATAGAGCCTGTTGAATAAGCAATCACGGTCCTCCGGGTTCATGTTAGACAGTATAATGGTATATTGAATATATAGCAGAAGCAGCTCAGAATAATTTCCATTCAGAGACAGAGGAATACAGAAGGGGGCAGAAGGGGTAAAAGTCAGTGGAAGGGCAAGAAATGAAGAGTTCTCTCTGATACCAGTTATTTCTCTGTGCTGTTACTTTGTCTGTAGTGCTGGTGCTCCAGTGAGCAAAGATTAATGTGGTGCATAGGTCTTTCTCTCAGCCCTTCACCCTGTTGCATTGTTGCTAAATGCACCTTGGAGTAGCACTGTGGCTCCAAAAATGAAAGGCACCTTTTATTTAAAACCAAATATCAGAATGCGTGACATTTGGAAAACTTCAAAGAAATTAGAGCGTCAAGGTTCCTCCTAACTCATCTGGTTTGCCCCTGGGCATGGGTAAAAAGCCATTAGTTTTCCTACTGTGCAGCAGCACAAGGGAAGAATAAAGAGGAGAGCCTTGTATCCAAGGACCCCCTTCTCTCTGTTGATGAGAAATATGCAGCCCGGCTCTATTAAGATTAGTCTTAACGATCTTAACTCTTCTTGAATTAGAAACCTCATGAAGGCACACAAACGTCTTTTAAAACAGAAACAAGTCTCCATGTCAGCCAGCGTCTCTTGAATGCTAACCTTCCCATTCTGTCACCACTTTTGAATGTGTGGGAACATGTATGATTTCTCCCAAACTGATGATGTGCAGCCAGTGAGAAGAGAGCACTAGCTTGCTTTTTGTGTGTAGATCTCATCTCATTCTCTTTCTATGTCTTTCCTTAAGCAGCAGTCTTTTCATATGTCCCTTTCACAATCTTCCCTTTGCAGGCTTTAGAGGGGCCTTGAGAAGAACCGAAAGAAAGAATGTAATATTTCAGCTGCAGAAAGACATTAAACCATTTCACAATGTCTGACTTTGTCTGTGGCATAATACGAACCATTATCCAGTAGCCTTCAGTGCACACAAAGAAGACACCACTCATTAGTTAAAACATGTTGAATCGACCATACTGTGAAAACATGCAAAGTTTGCCCCTTCATTCCACTGTGGTGAAAGAACACCTTTTTTTTAACAAACTTATTTGGTTTATATGAGATAGGTTTGTTACAGCCAAATAGTAAAACTGCATGTTAGCATTTGTGAGACGTTTTGTACAATTATCTCCCAGTAACTGTTTTCTCATTGTTGGTGAAGGAGCCATGGCGATGTCAGGAGACGGAATCATGAGCCCGGATGGGAAACCCAAAGCAGACGTGAAAGAGGACACAGGCCCCGCCAACGAGACTCACAAACCAAAGGTACGCCTTTGACCTCTTCCCTCTTACCCTCTCTTTGTTTTATTTTCTTCTTTTTTCACCTCAATCTGCTGATGAAGCAAACCAGATGTTGTTTTCCCACCATATTTAATGATTCGTTTAACATTTAACATTCCTAATGTTTTCATCCCTTTGTTTGGCATCCGCAGTACACACATGTACATGCACACATTTAAACACAACATGGAAATGCTGTACATACACATACACATAAAGACAAAAAGCTGCACTGTGGCCCTTCCACTCCCTCACAAACACACACCATCCTTCTCTTAAACACTACTTTCTCAGTTTCTCCACACACACACACAGACACAGACACACGTCTCAATTCACAATGCTGACTTCTCATTTTGCCCCACAATTGCTGCTTGGCTTGGCTCAGCTCAGCAACAACAGAACTCTGCTCTTTGCTCTTTTCTACTCCCTCCCCTTGTTTTTGTTTAACAACCTCTCTCCCACATAGACACACACACATGCACTCCCACGAACACACACACACACACGCTTACACCTCCATCACATCCACTACACGTCGTTTCACTCCAAATCCCTGTCTTTTCTTTTGCTGATTAGGGTAGTAGGGCCTTTTGAATTATTTAAGGCAGTCAGAGCAGCCAGAAAGACCCCCAGTGCTCCCAAAAGAGATGATCTGTCTGCCAAGAGAGAGGGAGAGAGATGGGGGAGCGGGGGGAGTGGGTTGGAGACAGAGAGAGGGAGGAGAAAGATAAGGTTTTGCTGACATGAGCATTCTGTACACAGACCAGAAGCTCTTGTCAGGCTGTCTCAGTCTCTTTCACTCTCACACACACTGTTTGCATCTAACTGGGTCTAGAATTTTTTTTGTAGAAATACCAGAATGTGTTGCAATACTGTGTTGCATTTCCAACATTAAAATTTAACTTAAAGCTGAAATTTGTAACAATTCTTAGTTATAATGTTATATATTTTTTTGAACTGTGTTCTGACATTACTCAAAATGTTTCCAACAATGTTAAAACCCAGAGAATTCACATTTTCACTCAGTTGGTCACCTTTTAATTGAGCCATATCGACTAAGTCACATCAGGTAGATTTTTATTAGCAATGGTAGTGACGACAACAGCTCCCATGATCCCAAGCTGCTTCACAACGCCATCACACTAGGGTCTTTTATTATTGTTTTTAATGCGAAATCCAAAGTGGCCAAAGTTACAATTTGTACGTTAAAACCTCTTTATATACAGTCTATGGTTAAAACATAATAAAATCACTTAATGATGCTCGTCAGTCAAATACTGAAGTATCCAAACTAAAAGTATCCATCATGCAACACTGCCCTTTATTTACTGTTTTTTTTTAATTGTGTGTTAGAACTCACTCTTCAAGATGTGAGAAGAATTTTGGTTAACAGGTTTACATGGGTTGTTCATGACTTTATATACTTTTGAGTATACAAGGATATAAAAAGTGTTGGTGGTTTTACTAGATTATATTCTAAAAAAGTAAAAAAAATAGCACAGATGTCAAAATCTTCAAATGGAAATACTCAACAATGGAACTACCTCAAATATCTACTTAAATACAGTAATTGATTGACTAGATGTGCGTAAACAGTCCTATGACCACACACACACAAGTTAGATGAGATTGTCTGCTGTTACTGTCTCAGTACTGAACTCAACAATGTGTCACACTGATACTGAGGAAGTGGATGAAGAAAAGAACAGAGAGTAATGTTTTTGTTTAAAGATAATTAAAGTCCTTGGCTGTCTTCTTCTCTCTCTCTCTTTACCAGCTACAGGACGGCTACAGCAACAACAACAACAGCAGCGGCAGCAGCTCCCAGCAGTGTGTGTCCCAGCCAGCAACACCAGGCGGCGCCTTGCCCGTGCCCTCCCCCCTCTCACCCAGCCCGGCCAGCTTGTCCTCCTATCACGGGGACGACAGCGACAGCATCAGCAGCCCACCATGGCCACTCAAGACCCCTTCTAGTCCCGTAAGAATGAGACACTGTTGGTTGGATGAGTGACAAAAGAAGTGGAATTACATTAATATTTAGAAACAAAGACCAAACCAAGGACAATAACCACTTAGTTTGATTCATTTGTGTGCGACTAGAGGATGATTGTGTAATAATTAGATCAAAAACTGGTTGTTAGACCACAGAACTCTTTAGAAACCTGGGCTGAAGCCAGACGTCATGTGGGATGAAACTTTGTCGACCAGTTCAAACGTGAGGGACATGAATGTGCAGTAAAGGAAATTATAATAAAATAAAAAACAGACTGAAAAATGCTCGAAAGAAGTGTTTATTTTTGCTCGTTCATTCAATCCACGGCAGCCTACATCAGAATGTGTAAACATAGGATGAAGCAATAGGATACAGCAAAGAAAAACAAACCGTAGAATAGACTATATATAGAATAGAATATATAGAATACACTGTGTGAATTCATCTAATCAGCACATGTAACCTCAAGTGCTCACATTACAACATTTTCATAAATAAAAGGTCCAATTCTTAGATCAAAGTCCCAATTAGTTTGTCTCCTTTTCTTATTTCCTCTCTCCGTCCCTTCTTAGAAAGCCAACCCTAACGCCTCCTCTCTCAGTGGGGAGCGAATCGCGCGCCTTTATGAGCTGGGTGTGGAGCCAGAGAGGCGGGGCTGGGTGGAGCGATATCTGACCTTCATGGAGGAGAGGGGCACGCCCGTCACCCAGCTGCCCGCTGTGGGCAAGAAGCCGCTGGACCTGTGGAAGCTCTACATGGCTGTCCGTGAGATAGGAGGCCTCGCCATGGTAACGTATAGGCGACGTGCTTAAAGATGATGGAGATAACAGATATGGATTTAAGTATATTTAAGTATTTTTAGCTGAACACAAAGTCACATTCAATAAAGTCCTTCCACCCTGATCATTTGCATTTGCTACTCAGTATTCTACAGCATATGCACTCCTGCAGCACGGCATATGGCGAGCCTGTAAACGTTAGGAGATGCTCGAGAGAATGAGATGCATGAAATATATCTTGTAGAACCTACAGTGTGTTCCTGAAAATGTCACAACACAAAAGCTCTGAGCAAGACTCCATGGCTGTCAAAACCTGTGTGATTAAAAAAAAAGCACATACAAAACATGTAAAGCTTTATGTGCTTAAATTGGCACATTTGACAGGAAGCCAAGAGAAAACAATAGCTAACATAACGCACCAACCACAAGATTACACATCATATTCCACAACCACAGGCTTTAATCTGTGACTATAATAGCCTTCGCTCTTCCACAACAATATGGAAACTACCTGCAGGCATTTGGACCCATTCACCCATGAGAGCATCTGTTAGGTATGAGCAGCGATGTTGTGTCAGGGAATAAGTCCTGACCTCCTCCATACTGTTCTATTATTTTATGTTGTTAAATTAGGATTTCACCTAATTGGAATTCAGTATTAAAAGCATGTGGTCCTCATACCTATGTTTATATATAGTTTATTTCTTTTTGCTGTTAGACAATGCAAAAATATTTTGCATTACTCATGAGTGGCCTACAGCTCTGTGGTTTTAGTACATATAAAACTATGAAATGTACTATAGACTTGATTATCACCTCCACCAAGGAGGTTATGTTTTCGCCTGCATTTGTCCCATTGTTATTTAGCAGGATTACAAAAACACTACTGGATTGATAAACCCAAAACTTGGTGGAACGATGTGGTTCGGATCAGAAAATAACCCAATTCGTTTTGCTGCAGATTCTTATCGAGGAATTTGTTTTAGCTTTCTTCAACATTGTGAAATAGGGCATTTTTCCAGCATTCCTGGATATTGATGACAATATTGGGCATGTTTAGTGGATTAGGTTTATGAGTTTGTGCAATTTGGTGCAGATACAAATAAAAATCTGGATGTAGTGAATTTAAATGTGGTTTCATGAGGGGACTGTTGTATGCACTCTACTTAGTGTTATTCTACTTTGGATTAAATTTAGCAGGTTGTGTTCAACTATACTCCAACCAAAATGACAAGTGTGAGGCTGATTCTACTCGGAGACATAGCCTTACCGTAAAATCTCACTGCCAGTCATTTAACAACTCCATGTCTTGTCATTCTCCCAACCCCCAACCACTCAGGTAAACAAGAACAAGAAGTGGCGTGAGCTGTCCACCACGCTGAGCGTTGGCACATCGAGCAGCTCCGCCAGCTCCCTCAAGAAGCAGTACATCCAGTATCTGTTCGCCTACGAGTGTAAGATGGAGAGGGGAGAGGAGCCGCCGGCAGACAGCAGCAGCAGCAGCAGCGTCAGCAGCAGCATGGCTGGAGGGGAAAACAGGAAGCAGGTCAAGATCCAGCCACCGTCACCTGGTAAGGCCTGATAACAGAGCGCTGCACTGGGTTTTTCCAACGACTCCAGTTACCCATCTGTCAGCAGCCAAACAACAGGTGCTGATGATCAAAATACAGGTGTCGGGAAGCATCAGAGAAATCTGCATTCATGGCAATGTGGCTTACAACAACACTACAATAAAGGCCGTGCAGCTGTGTCCAAAAACTCTAGCATCTTGGATGACTGGGAAGTGGCAGAAATATTTATATTATAGTATTAAACTGTTTTTTATTGTTTATCAAGTGCAAATTAATAGAACATATTTGCAGGTGGAATAAACTTGTTCCTCATTGCAGTTTTAAAAGACTTTTTTGTCCTAAACAAATTGTTGCGGTTCATTTTGTAACTAATCAGCTTTCAGGATAATTTAGCAAAGAAACAGAAGGTAGAGTTATTAGTTTGAGCCATGTTGTGTGAGGTGCTGTGCAGGCTTGCCAAAATCCAACTAAAAGGGTTATATTATCTTAACAGAAATCACATCATAGCTCAACCACTTCAACTCCCTGAACACACTCGAGATAGCACTAACTACAGACCTCTGTTCCCAGATCAGATTTTCTCCTGATGTCTTAATGAAATATGACATGGGAGGGAGGGTGTCATGGAGAGAGAGCGATTTTTATTATTATTTTTTATCAATATTGTTGTCATTTTTATTTGGTTCTTTAGATTAGGATTAGATACTGTTTAAGAGACAATAGAATAATGTACTGTGTATATATAGTGCTTTACAGTCTTATCGACCACTCAAAGCACTTTACAGTACAAGTTAAATTCATCCATTCACAAACACATTCATACAGCGTATCACTGGAGACAAGCAACAACTCACCCGCAGATTCAAACCTACAGTCAAGTTAAAGTTTCCAATTAAGCTAATCCCAGGACTTGTCTGCACAACTGCAGATTCTATCCACACATCCTCCGTTTGACAAAACAAGGCCCGAAACACAGAGAGAAAAGTTTGCTTTGCCAATTATCCGCACTAGTGTGGACAGGGCATCAATCTGCATGTCTTTGGACTGTGGGAGGAAGCTGAAGTACCCAGAGAAAACTCAAACAGACATGGTGAGAAGACAGAAACTCCACACAATGTGGGAGCTGAATCGGAAATCTTCTTCTTACCGGTTTAGCTGTAAACATGATCGATCCATCCATCTGTGAGATTTCCTTCAGTACAATGCAAACTAATTGGATTTAGTTTGAGGCAACTGGTGATAAACCTCAACATGTACATGGTGGATACCATTAGGGCTTCTTTGTCTTTTCCCTTGAACCGTTTAATTTACTGTTCAGCCACTAAATATGAGATTCATTATTAAAAATAGCACACAGGGATGCCTTGTGATTACATGAACACAACTTAAAACCCTTAGAGATTAATGAACATTAACACTGTTTTGATGAGATGATTCTTAGTTTAATGAAGGTGAGCTGCAATACAATCACCACTTGCACCTCAAACCAGGGACTTACCTTTATTTGATTACAGTGCTTGAGAGGTTAAGTAATATTGTTTTTTTTGGCGCAGCACCGCAACACAAAGGGAGCTTTTATTTTTGTTTGTGTATATTACCCGTTCACACCATGTGTCTGGGTGCACAATTATGATGTGAGCACCGAGAGCGGAGAGTTGGAGCGATGTGGAGCAGTGAGGTCACGTCTCTAATTTGCAGCGGAGATGAGAAAAATGACCCTGCCTTTAAATAGAACATCTGAGCACTTCACCTGCCGGAGACACTGCAGATTGCTTTTCCTGGTGGGTGGGAAAGAGCATGTGCCTTCATTTGCATTCACGCACACATACCTACAGTACACATGAGCAACACAAGCACACGGTATACTGTATATAAACACACATATATTATAATCAGGCTCCTCTCATCTACTGAAGGGGATCTAAACTACTCAGTTTGAAAGTCTCATTTTGTCCACATCAGCTGATGGAACCATGGCACAACTAGAGACAGCATCTGCATTGTGAAATATGGAAAGGTTAATACATGTGATGTTTGGGCTGCTTTTTGGAAATGCAGCACTCAACTGTAGACTGCTTATGGTGCAACACTTGATTATAGTGATATTTTCTCTATATTTTTTGTATCATCTGCATATGTGTGTTGGCGGTCCTCGTGACAGTTGAACCCCTTCACTTCTGTAGTACTTATCCATGTTTTCTCTATAAGCCTACTTGTTAGTAGAAATACAAAACATACCTGTATATTCAAAGGGAAATTCCTGTTACAACTTGGGTCTCACTCTCAGATTTTGCTCACTCTTCTCAACATTGTCTTCCCTCAGTTAGCTGCTTGCAAATGTAACACAGCTTTAAAATATTACCACGTGATTTACTGAGCAGGAACATCAGGAAATTATAAAAAATGGAGTTAATTGATCATTGATTAATAGTTTTAAAGTAAAACTTGGCATCCCTCTTTTCCCAGGCTCCCCAGGAAAATAGTCATTAGATGTTATTAAACCCTAATTATTAAAACATTTTCACTTAAGTTTTTCCCTCCAGTTGTTTGGATTATAGCCACTGATTGCATGTATCTGACTGCTTGTGTTTCTTGCTCCAAATGACTCTGTGTTTGCAATGTTGCTTTATTGTTAAAGCAACAAATGAAACTCATTCCTAATGTAGATAAACTGTTTCATTATTTAAATGTATTTTCTTGATGCTTGTGATACATTCAAGTGATTGTATCAAATTGAATAACTACAAACTTATGATTTGTGTATAAAATTTATATCCACATATATTTCTAATAGCAGAGTTTTAAGATAATATAAATAACTTGAATGATGAGCACTTTGTGTCCTGTTTTTCAAGTAGTTACTGATACTTTCAGCTGAAACACAAGTCAACATACAAACAATCCAATTCTAAAACTTTCTGTTTATGGTCAATTAATTTATGAAGCAAGATCAACACCATAGGTTCACAAGCTAAAAAAAACATCCATTTCCTCTGTCTTGTTGTGCTCTCTGTGCTTCCCTGCTCCAAAGTGCAAACTGTCTCACTGACACCGTGCCAGCCTATATATAGACTGACAGGCCAATGATGTCACAGAGGGAGCTTGTCCAGCGGGCTGGTGGGGGTGTGTGTGTGTGTGTGTGTGTGTGTGTGTGTGT